CTCTTTGCAGCGTCTGAAAGAAAGATGTATGTATGTATGTATGTATGTATGTATGTAATTATGTATGTGTATATGTGGATGTATTTATATACATATATACATACATATATATATATATATATACATGTACGTGTGCATATGTATATTTATTTACTTATATTTATTTATTCATTTATTTATCTATTTATATTGTTATTGCTATGTATATATATATATACATATATATATATATATATCTATGAAATGCCGTAAGACACACGCAATAGGACCCCATAGAGGCTTCTACAACCCGATACAGCCCCGAACCCCGAGGCGCTGCTACAGTGGGGCTTCCTTCCGAAGTTCCTCTCGGCGGAGCTTCGCGGCCGGAATTGTGCGACGGTGCGTCTCGCGACTCAGAATCCCCTATTTGTCAGGCGTGCGGCTTCGGGCTCGAGGTTCAGGGTTTTACAGTTCAGGGTTTTGGGTTTCGGGTTCAGGGTTAAGGCTTTGGGGGTCCTAATTTTGTTTTAAAGCGCGACTTCAGACGCCAATGTTTGTCAGGCGCAGCGGATCTTGGATTATACGGCCCAACCCCAGCTACTTCGACTATGTGCAAGCGGCTAAAGCGCCCAAAGATCTCAAATTTCAGCCTCAGGGCTTTCGCCTCATAGCTTGGTGGGTTCACCCGGATTTGCAGCGGGACAGCCCATGGTTTCAGCCGGACGAGATGGTTCCTTGCGAGCCTGAAGCGGATCACACCTTCGACTACCAAGCGGTCGGCTCCTCAGGGTTTTGCCTGAGCTTCTGCCATTGGTTTCGCTTTGCGGTGCTTCTTCCGACAGCCCTGCACGGGTAGAATTAGATTTTGCCGACATGATGAGGATAGGAGAGCGACAACGAACCGGACGGAGGCATGATGACATGCATGATCACACAGGCGAAAGACATGATGACGATGAGCATGGTTGCACGGTAAACAGCGAAGACAACTGGAATAACGGTCGATGATTCATGGCTTGCTGATGTTGCGCTGTTTTCTTGCTGGCACGGGCCCTTCTTCTTGCTCCTGTCAAAATTGTGTTGTTCTTACTTTTCGTTATCGTTGCTGCTCGTCTCGCTGCCGTTGGTCTGAAGTTGTTTCTCAATCTTATTCTATTGTGTTATATCATATTATGTTATCTTGTCTTATCTTAATTTATTTTATATTTTACCTTTCCGCCTCAATCTTTTCGCCTGCCGCAGCTCTTCGCTTCGCGGCCGTCAGAGCAAAGCGCAGGTCCAGCCGCTCTCCGACTTCCAGACCTCAACGGCGACTTACCTTTATGGGTAGTTCTATAAGGGTCTTTTCGGGGTTTCTACAAGGGTACCTATAAGGGTTCTATTTGGGTAGGGCGACTTACCGTTGTGTGTTCCCTGGGAGTCTGTCTGCCCCTTCAAGTGGCTGCATGGTAGACATATGTCTCCAATATCTTCGAGGAAG